ACGTAGCAGCACAGAGAGACTACGAGTTACACTCTCTCGACTTCTCCACTGCTTTCCTTCAGGGCAGTCTTCACGAGGAGGTCTGGCTGCGTCGTCCCTCTGCCTTCACTGGCACCTTCCCTCCTGGGACCCAGTGGAGGCTGAGGCGACCTGTCTACGGTCTTCGCCAGGCCCTTTCGTGAGTGGCACGACACTCTGCGTTCTACCCTCTCTGACCTTGGGTTCCAGCCGTCTTCTGCCGACCCGTCGCTGTTCGTTCGTCGCGGCTCCACACCGTTCTTTGTGCTGGTCTACGTTGACGACCTCGTTTTCGCCACTGCTGACAGGGTTGCTTTGGCAGACGTGAAGTCCGAACTGCAGAAGAGACACACCTGCACTGACCTTGGTGAACTGCGCCACTACCTTGGCCTGCAGATCACCAGGGACAGAGCTGCTCGCACCATTACACTTTCACAGTCACACATGGTGCAGCAGGTCCTTCAGCGGTTCGGGCTTCAGCACTCCACAGTACAGCGCACACCTCTTGCTGTTGACCACAGACTCACTGGACCCTTTCCTGACGAGCCGTTTGAGCCTAGTGGTCCCTACGCAGAGCTTGTGGGTTGCCTCATGTACCTGATGACTTGTACTCGCCCGGACCTCGCCTTCCCTCTCAGCGTCCTTGCGCGCTTTGTTGCGCCAGGGAGACACCGTCCTGTTCACTGGACAGCAGCTGTGAGGGTGGCGAAGTACCTAGCGACGACATCAGGCGTGGGGCTAGTTCTTGGAGGGCAGCAGTCTGTCGTACTTACTGGTCACTGTGACTCTTCTTACGCTGACGACGCTGAGACTCACAGGTCTACTCAGGGGTACTGTTTCAGCCTGGGTTCTGGAGCTGTTTCCTGGCGGTCCACGCGCTCCTCTTCGGTCTCGACCTCTACAGCTGAGGCTGAGATCTACGCTGGTGCCATGGCGGCACAGGAGTTGCGTTGGTTGACGTTCTTGCTTGCCGACCTTGGTGAGCGGCCGAGCTCTGCACCGACCTTGTTCACTGACAACAAGGCGTCGATTCTCCTTTGTCGAGAGCCGCGACTGGAGAGCAGAGTGAAGCACATTCACGCCAGGAACTTTTTTCTACAAGAGTTGTAGAGACTTGGACAGGCTCGCTTCGAGTTTGTGGAGTCCGAGGCCAACACTGCAGACATCTTCACCAAGGCGCTTCCGCCTTGTGACCACCAGAGGTACTCTGTGCAGTTAGGCCTTGTTGACACTGGTTCTCGTCTTGTGTAGACTTGAGTTGACTGTTTGTCTTGCTTGTACATTTGCTGTATATCTTGTGAGTTCTTGGACTGGCCTTGTGGCCACTGGTGTTTGTGCTCAGAGTGTGTGGTGACGTTGTGATCCACCCTGAGCTTTGTTTCTTGGACTGGTCTTATGACCGTACTCTTTTGGTTTTGCTAGACACCCCTCACTTAGGCTATGGGGGTGTGTCAAATGTTGTAGCCTATAGTGAGGATTGTCTTAGGGGTTACGAAACTTAGGGTTAGCTATATGTACCTCAACCAACATCAATGCATCATTGATTCCTCATTCTGACATCCGCATGCGTTGTGTTCATTTGTTGGTTCATGTTCTTTAAGTGTAGCTGATTTAAGAGACTAAATACTATATGGTTTGCAGGTACCACCCGGTGCATGCATAAGAGTGGAAATGGATGGGCGGAAGAGGATGTTAGAGAGGGGTTCGGTTGGGGCAAAAAAGAGAAGAATCTACAAATATTGTTCCTCTTTGTTCGTGTAGATCATAAGTACTATCGTAAATCATCTATTCAGTTTTGTATGACCTGTTCCTCAATAGTGGTTCGTTTTCTTTTAGGAGACACCGATAGAGCGCGTTTGTCGTTAGTTGACAGGGATTTCTTAGTTGAAGCGCCCATGTATGACTTGTCAGGATTCATGATGCAGTTATGGCAACATCTAGGCTGGCCCAACGCAAACACTTGAGGTCGTCCCGAGACGACGGCTCACATAAGCAAACGCGTCGCGCTGGAAGTCTTACTTCCATCGGATTAGACTTGTCTCGAAACGGACGGTCCGATCATGCCTTTGTAGTCACAAGTTCGTTCGGATGGTCTTGGGATTCACAAGGTTCTGAGACAAGTGAGAATCCTCCAATCTTCAAACCACAAGCGATGGTTCAGTGGCGAAGCCTCCCTTGACTCATGGCAGCAGTACAGCGTCGCATAGCGTTGCATGATAGCGTTTTCGTAAGGACAACATCCCATTGTTCTCGTAGCCCCGACTTACCACTCAGCGATCAGAGTCTCAGAGACTCCGAGTTTAACGAGTCGTAAGACTTCAGTTGTCGACCGAGAGATACTGCAAATCAGTGGCTGGCTTCAACCAGTAATAAGCACGTCGACAACGATCTATATCATCCCGACATTGCTTTCGAGGTTAGATTCAAGGTTCCAGCTACCCAGACGAATCGTGGGTCTCTTGCGAGCGACGAGTACTAGCAGTGGCGAGTCCGCAGAGTGCATCACGGATGATCATGAAGTCGATCGCTTGAGAGACAGACGTTTCAGAATCAAGCCGACTGCATTACACGTGGCCGTGTCTCTTAATGTAACTCCTGGCGAACTTCTTTTATCGGTTTTCAACAAACTAATTTAGTCGCACCTGCCCAACTGCTGCCTCCCACGCGAGACATGTCAGCACAGGGGGGTCATGCTGGATTGAAAGCATCGGAACAGGACTTCGACAATCGGAAGGAACAAGTTTGTTTCACGATGCTCGGACAGCAAGCGTGATCTCCTGGCTTGACTGTTGAGCAAGCCAAGCCGCCTTGCGCGGGTATACCCATCAACATTGCATCCTTTGAAAAAGCACTTCGAAATCGAAGATACCAGGGTGAGGAATGTGTGAGTGCTCCTACTCCTGCATCTGCAAAAGCAGGTTTTTGCCTTTCTGATTATCTTCCTCCTCCTGATCCTGATGTCGTGACTGCTTCTTTTACCACCGAATTGGACCCTGTTGAGTCTAGCAGTATGGAAAACAAGGAGCTGCAGCCAAAAAGAGCAGTCCCAGCAGGGATTGGCGTAGCAGAGCCAAAATGCTGTGGTTCTGCCACTGCCAGTATCAAAGAAGAGGAAGAGAAGGAGGTAGATGCCGGCATATCACAATTCCTTCAGAAGTTGGACGAGTGGTGGAATACTCTTGATGCGTTGGAGTCGGCTCTCCCAACTGAGAGCGCTGAACCGGGACAGTCCGCTGGAGCAAACGAACCGAAGGCAGCAGAGCAAGCACAAGAGGAGTTGGAGGAGCGGCTGAAGACTGTCGGGATGCTCTGCTCTGCTGCCCAGATCAACTGGGGTGGAGCGGGTCAGCCTGATGAGGCAAATAGCGGGGCAGCAAAGGAAGCAAGCTCAGGGGTCAGCCCGCCGCGCCAGTTGCTGACTCAAGCGGACATGGTTCACTACTTGGACGAGACGAGTGGATGGGATGCGGATCTGTGTGAGTGCTGCTTTGACCGTGCAGTGGGCCAGAGAGCACAGCGAGCACTAGGCGTCAAGAGCCTGGAGGACATGCGTTGCCGCTTGTGCAAGCAGCAGCCTCACTGCATCCCCACTGCAGATCCCGAGCAGCAGCACCAGGCCCATTTCGCGTATTCAGCAGTGCAGGGGCTTCAAGAGGGGCGTAGAATCCCGTGTGAGGAACAGTTTGCATGGAAGGCGGTGAGGGCGCCTCGCCTCTGTGCAGAAGCCATGAACCTGGAGTGGATGGCTGAGCCTCGTGTGGGCGTGCTCATGGACCTGGGGAGGGTCAGATCCTGCCTGCCTGGTATTCTGAATGGGACAAGGGCTGCACGAGATGACTTACCGTCTCCTGCTTCATCTGCTACTGCTGCTGCTGCCCCTTGCGCATCTGGTGCTGCAGCGTGGTTTTGTTGCTGGCGCTGCAGCAGCTGCTGGGCTGCCTACCGCCGTGCTGTCAGCTTCTCATCGTTCCTCGTGCTTGTAGCGAGGTCTTCCCGTTTTGTGACTCTATGGGCGGCAGCTCATTTGTATCGTTTTTCGTGCTTCCTGGCCAGCGATTGTTGCTGAGTTGGGGGCAGTCAGGCAGGGGGAGCGGGACAAGTTGGCTTCCCTGCTCGTGCAGGTTCTCGGGGTGAAGCAGAGTGCTGATCTGAGGGACGGGTTTGGTTTCTTTGTGCAGCATCTGTTGTCAGGCGGGGTAGAGAATGCACATGCAGAGGAGATGGGGGAAGGAGGAGACGGGGGAGGGATGGCAGAGAGGACAGATGCGAGGGGGAAGGGGAGATGTGAGGGGGAAGTAGAAGGGCCTGCAGAGCACACAGGGGGTTGGAGGGGGATGGAGCAGGATATTGGTGGGGGGCAACGGGGAGAGAGAAGGCCCGTGGGGGGATTGGTGGATGCGTCACATGGGAAGGCAGATGGGAGATGCGGAGGGGAAGAGGCACGGAGCAAGGTAGAGAACAGGGTTGCGAGCAAGTGCGAGAGGTTGAGGGGGGTGGTGAATTGGAGGGAGAATCTGACAGGGCCTATTTGGAGGAGGTATGTGGATGGCATGTCCTGGATTCTGGAGCATGGAGGGGGGGAAGTGAGGCGGTTCACGGGCAGCCATTGCAGTGGAAAGGGCAGCCGCAGCAGCAGCAGCAGCAGCAGCAGCAGCAGCAGCAGCAGCAGCAGCAGCAGCAGCAGCAGCAGCAGCAGCAGCAGCAGCAGCAGCACCAGCAGCAGCAGCAGCAACAACGTCAATGGAGTTGCAGGCACCAATACGTGCAGTAGTCCTCCCAATGGTATGCACGTAACTGGTGTAGGTGCGACCGATTTCGCTCTTGCTGTCACCACAGTACTATCTAACCCAGAGCACTGGAAGAGTGCAGAGTTGTTCTTACATGATGGGAACAATGTGAGCAAAATAGCGATTGAGAGAGCAGCTATTCAGGTGGCCAGAAAGAGACTGATGCGTCGCATGAAGCAGACAGGGGAGAAGAATATGCCTGGGGGAGCAGGAGCAAACGTAGGAGGAGCTCAGCCGGCTATAGCCATCCCTGCAAATGCTAGGCGCGTGAATGTGGATAGGTTTGTGCCTGTCAATATGAGCCCTGTGGTTGCTGCATTCACCTATCGTGCTGGTTGCATCTTGCAGTGGGTCCGAGTCTACGGCTCAGATTCCATCTTGGAGACACAATGCTTCATGAACGACCCTCAGAGCAAGGTTCTGCCCATGCGCCACCCGTTCCGAGACCTCCCAAGCTTGCTGGTCAGGTTTGGCGCCATCCCCAAGCCTCTGGAGGGAAGCAGCGGCCCCTTGGAGTGGGAGGAGTGGCCTGGGGGCGACGAAGCTGCTGTAAGGTTTCCTGTGAACCGAAGGGCGAGGTGTTTTGGGCTTGGGATTGTAGAGGAGAATGGTGGCACAGCTGAGAAGCTGACTCAGTATCCTCCTCAGCGAACGTCTGAAGCAGGAGGGGGCAGCAGCCGTGCAAAGGAGAAAGGACGCAAGGCAGTAGGTCAAGGAGCTAGCCAGGAAGCTGAAGAGAGCAGAGGGTGTGGAGGATCTGAAGCAGGAGGGATCACCAGGAACGCAAGGAGGAAAGCCTGTAAGGCAGTAAGAGCTGGTATGGAATCTGTTTCGAGCAGGCCGCATGGGTCAGCTGAAGCATCTCGAGCAGACGAGCAGAAAGTTACTTTGCCCCCGCCCAGACGGAAGCTTCCTATCGTCCGCTGCGAGGCAGACGTGGATTTCCTGGTGGGGTTTGCGGGGTATATCATGGACCCTCCTGCATGCACCAAATGCAGCACATGCTCCGCAGAATTGATGCAATCCGTGTGCATGGCTGCTCTCATTGTCACCTTCGCTTACCGGCCAGTAAGCCATCTGTTCTCCCGTATGCTCTCAGTATTCCCGCCCTCCTCTCCTGGCTTTGACGAGCTGGTTGAGAGCCTGGAGCTTCCTGGACGCCTACCCAGGCCGTTGAATCTGCATATGCTGCTGAGACGAGCCGAGCAGGTGCCTTTGTATTTCCTCATTCACATGGCTGTGTGGTGCGCTCGTCCTCTTCTAGGTCTTGCTGGTTTCGAAGGAGGGGAGAGTGAGAAAGGGCAGGGAGTGCCGTCAGGTGCACGGAGGAAAGGTGGGGAGGGAGCGGGAAAAGGCGGCAGTGTGAAGGTGCAAGGCGGCTGGGATGGTGAGATGGATCAGGCGAACGGTGGAGAGGTGTGGGAAGAGGTGCGGATGTAGTACTTTGCAGCAATGAAAACGTGGATGTCGAGGCTAGAGGTCGAGGGAGGGGGCGAGGAGTGCAGCGGCAGCAGAGAGCGCGAGAGGCCGCCAGTGGGGTTGGACATCACATGGGCTCTTGCAGCGGCGATCGTCCCGAGGTACTGTGAGGGGTTGCAGGGGCAGCAAGGGCGTGCCAGGGGGAGCAGCACTGCCAGCAGCAGCAAGAGCAGTAGCAGAAGCAGCAACAGCAGCAGCAGCAGCAGCAACAGCAGCAGCAGCAGCAACAGCAGCAGCAACAGCAACAGCAGCAGCAGCAGCAACAGCAGCAGCAGCAGCAACAGCAGCAGCAGCAGCAACAGCAGCGGCAGCAGCAACAGCAGCAGCAACAGCAGCAGCAGCAGCAACAGCAGCAGCAGCAGCAACAGCAGCAGCAACAGCAGCAGCAGCAGCAGCAGCAACAGCAGCAGCAGCAGCAACAGCAGCAGCAGCAGCAGCAGCAGTGAGAAGAAGGGCAAGGAGGGGGAGGAGCTGGCTTATCTGAAGGCATGGCCGGGGGGAGTCAATCTGGTGGCGTGTCTCAGAGAGATGCTGCTGGGGGAGCCGTGCTACCACCCTGCCTTCCCTGCTGCTATGTCCGCCCATGCTACTGCTTCCACCCATCCTGCTGCTGCTATGTCTTCTCTTCCTGCTGCCTCTCCCACCCCCACTGCAATAAGCATGGGTGGTGCTGCTGCTGCTGCTTCAGATGTGAAAGGCCGTGTGTGCGGTGCTGTGGAATGTGGGACGGTGGAGGGTGGCGAAGTGAAGCTGAGGAGGTGCGGTGGGTGTGGCAAGGTGGCGTATTGCAGCAGAGAGTGCCAAAAGGCGCACTGGCCCTCCCATAAGCTCACTTGCCCTGGCAGTAGCAGCGGGAAGAAGAGAGGGAAGGATAGGAGCAGAGATGGCCGGATGAAAGTTGTCAAGGCGAGTGTTTGTGATGGTAGTGATGAGAATGGTGGTAGGGAAAGATGGGGGCATGGTGGAAAGATGACTGGCGGGTTCTGTTGCGTAGGGCGGTGCAAGGACAGTGCCGGACACAGGTGTGAAAGCATCAAAAGGCAGAGCTGGAAGGAGGGTGGCAAAGTCGAGGGAAGGAAGGAAGAGTGAAGGCATGAGGGGAGGGGAGGGAAAGATTGGGGTGCGCAGTAGCCCGTTCATGGTAGGAGAGTGAGGGGGAACACAGGGGGACTACAACTGAGGAATCACAGATGGGAGAGCTTTAAGGTTTGGTAAACGAAGTGCTGTGAGTTTCTTTGGCTTTTGATTGTATGTTTTATTGCCATTACATGCTAACATGCTACCATAATTGCTTCGTAGGGATAAATCAGGCTCGATCAAGTATTATTTGTTGGCCTCACCCATGTGTAATATAGCATCAAGAGAACAGCTTGTCATATGGCATCACCCACGTGTAATTATACCGGAAAGAGGCACTACACGTGATCGGAAAGAGGGCACAATTGTGGAACATTTTCCAGTCATCTGTTCTAACAATCTGTTGCTATGATTAGGAGGTACGTTGAGCACAAAAACCAATTCTGTGATGTGCGCACCTGCCATCAGCGTCCAGTCCAGTGATTCCTCTCTGCACCCTAAGCTGCTCCTACCCACTACGTTGAGGAGTGGCGATGTATGACTCATCATGAAGCACCCTAGACAACACTGGGTGGGTGTGCGTATTTATATTGCATGCACTTATTTAACTGTACAGCTTGATGCGCATTGTGACGGGTGCGCGGCATATGGGGCAATTGTTCATCTGCTTGCCACACTCCTCACACGTCTGCCACGGTCAAAAGGCACATTGGATTGGGAAAAATGGTAAAAAAAAAAAGAGTTTAGACGCTACACATGAAAGGCATCACACAGCAGCATACTGAATCTCTGCAAAAACTGATGCGGGTGGACGCAGGAACAACATGCAATACACATTGCTGCACCCACCGAGTGTAAGGCAATGGTTTTCAGTACAGTGCATCTCACCGAGTGGCCACACAGGGGTGCATGCAGCATACTTCGAGTGAGGCACGCTAAACGCGTGTGCCTTTTTGAAAAGTGTGTACATGCCTCAACTGGGGAAGGCTTTACCTGGTGTAGTGAAGAGTGTGTGGTCCTCACCTAGTGACTGACTGCGCTGAAAGGTAGTGTGTTTTCAAGAGGCACACCCCATGAACTCAAAAATGTGTGGCCCTCACCTGGCGCACACTCCTCACCTGGCGCACACTCCTCACCTGGCGCACACTCCTCACCTGGCGCACACTCCTCACCTGGCGCACACTCCTCACCTGGCGCACACTCCTCACCTGGCGCACACTCCTCACCTGGCGCACACTCCTCACCTGGCGCACACTCCTCACCTGGCGCACACTCCTCACCTGGCGCACACTCCTCACCTGGCGCACACTCCTCACCTGGCGCACACTCCTCACCTGCTGCTGCGCACTCCTCACCTGGTGGCCGCACTGGAGGGCAGTGTTCTTGGGGAACATGATGCACACCACACGGCGCCATCAATCCAAGAGCTTATAACCCTCACCTGGGGCAGGCCTAGCCTGGTACAGGCCTCACCTGGTACAGGCCTCACCTGGTACAGGCCTCACCTGGTACAGGCCTCACCTGGTGGCCGCACTGGAAGGCAGTGTTCTTGGGGAACATGAGGCACACCGGACACTCCATTCCCCCTCCTGTTGCCATCCCCCCAGAGCCTGCCGCAGAGTCAGCGGCAGCACTGGCGGCGGTTGCAGTGCTGCCCGCACCATAGCCATACGCAGCAGTGCCATCCATGAGGTTTCCAAAGGGGTTAGGAGCGGTGCCGGGGTTGAGGTTGGGTTGGGTGAGATTATTAGGGTTGAGGTGGGGTGGCAGGTTGGCAGCAGCGAGGGAGGCAGCTCGGTCCGCTGCAGTATCAGCTGCTCGCACGCGCGGAGGGGGCTCCTTGGGGACTGATGGGGGCATGCGACCCACAGGGCGACTGGAGGGGAGGGAGTGGGGAGGAGAAGGGGAGAGGAAGGAGAGGGTGGGGAGGAGAGTGGGATGGATGTTACCAACATGAGGGAGGGAGGGAGGGAGGGAGGGAGGGAGGGAGGGTGCAGCAGCAGCAGAATCAGCAGGAAGCGAAGCAGTTTGGGCCGCTGCAGCAAGTGCTGCTCGCACGCGCGGAGGGGGCTCCTTGGGGGCTGATGGATGCATGCAACCCACAGGGCGACTGGAGGGGTGAAGGGTGGAGGCGTGAAGGGGAGCAGAGAGAAGAGGGGAGGGAACGGGGGGAAGTGGAGAGAGAGAAGGTGTGTTACTAACAGGAGCGGCAGAAGCAGCAGCAAGAGAGGCATGTCATGTGCGCATGCAAGGAGGGGGTTCCTTGCGGACTGATCTGGGCATGCGACCCATAGGGCGCGTGGAGGGGTGGTAGAGCGACGGGGAGAGGCAGGTGATGGAGGAAACTAAATTGGGGGGGGGGGGGGGGGGGGGGGGGGGGGGGGGAAGAGCGGGGAATGTTTGTCAGCAGAAGAGAGAATGACAGCTGTGGAAATTTGAAAGAGTTAGGAGCTGCGCCGGGATGTAGAAACTCTCAATCTAGATCAGCACATTGACACCCTCGCATGGTTCCATGGTGTAGTGGTCATCACGTTTGCTTTACACGCAAAAGGTCACGAGTTCAAACCTCGTTGGAACCATCTTTTGCCCACCAGCAAATGACTTAGGCCTAGTTTCATCATCTCTTCAGTTCAATCATCGTTCTTATTTCTGCAGCTAGCAATTCCGTGGCAGATGCTACACATCAATAGAGCAGCACCCAAGCAGCAGAACTCACCCCAGCAGCCCCAGCTCGGTGCAGGCGCGGTACTGATGAGGCACCTCCATGAGCGCTGAGAGGGCGAAGAGTGCCTCCCGCTGCTCCGGTGCACGTGATGATGCCATGACCCTCGTGAAGTTGACAAACTGATGTGGGGAAGTTTTATGGGGCCGGAGGGGGGGAGAGTAATGAGGGCGGAGGGAGGGAGAAGGACCACTATGAGTGGTGAGAGAGAGCCATCTGTTGGGTTGATGAAGTTGACAATCTGGTGGAGGAGTTGGAGTGATCGTTGGGATGGGCGAAGAGCAGTTGGGAAGGATGGGGAGAGGGAGACAGGGGGGGAAATGGGCAACTATTGCGAGGGAGCGTACGCGCAACACGTGGCAAACTTTTGAGGCGTCTCAGAAGCCGTCCAGTAGTGAACGAGGTTGATATGGCACCAACCATAGGGTAGAATCATGGGTGCAACTTGAGGTCGAGTTTCAATACCTGATATTGTTACACACTGAAGTGCTCTTTTTGTAATAAACTCTTACGTGAAGATGGTGGCTTTGTGAACACCACAGCAGCCCGCACGTGATCCCACCTGGAAGTTGTCGAAGTTGCGCTGCGGCAGAGCATCGTCAAACTCCTCCATGGTGTCCCATGGGCCGTCACCCACCCCCACCATGACTATCGAGAGCGCGTAGTTGCTGTGGGAGGAGTGAGAGGTGCAATGCAGGCAGTGCAAGGGGGAAAAGGAGGGGATTGGAGGCAAGGAGCAGCATTAGTGCGTTTCATGATCTGTCGCCCACCCCCACCATCATTATTGACAACGAGTAGTTGCTGCGGGAGGAGGGACACAGTGGGGAGGGTGCAGGGGGGGACACAGTGGGGAGGGTGCAGGGGAGGACACAGTGGGGAGGGTGCAGGGGGGTAAGAAGGAAGAATGTCCCATGGGCCGTCACCTACCCCCACCATCACTATTGACAGCGCGTAATTGCTGCAAGAGGAGGGGCACAGTGGGGAGGGCGCAGAAACGTAAGAGGTAAGCACGTTATATCGGCCTGCACCCACCCACCCCGCCCCCACCATCACTGTCGGCGTGTGAGAGGAGGGACGGGAAGGAAGGAATCGGCAAGGAGCAACGTTAGCATGTTATGTTTCATGGCTCTTAAAGAACGACCGGACGAGGAACCAACCGAAGAAAAGAAGCAACAACATAGTGGGCGTCTGTTGGAGCCTGAGGAGGAGCAGTCCTGTCCACACCACTGCTGGGCGCATCATTGCAATTATGAGTGGACAGCAACGATGCGACTGTCCCCTCACATTGTTACTGCGACTGTGAAAGGCGGTAGATGGATGATGAGGAGGAGGAGGATGAGGAGGAGGAGGAGGAGGAGGAGGAGGAGGAGGAGGAGGAGGAGGAGGAGGAGGAGGAGGAGGAGGAGGAGGAGGAGGAGGAGGAGGAGGAGGAGGAGGAGGAGGAGGAGGAGGAGGAGGAGGAGGAGGAGGAGGAGGAGGAGGAGGAGGAGGAGGGTGCATCGACTGGCCAGAAACACATAGCACCTGAGCTATAGCAACAAGCCTGATGGCAACAGTGACCTAGCTGGCAGCAACAGAGACCCACCTGGCAGCAACAATGGCGTCAACAGTAGCCTGCTCCTGTCTGCTGAAAACTCCTGGCGGCGTGTCAACACTGCGAGTGACCTGCGATAGGGAGGGGGGAG